GTGTGTGTGTGTGTGTGTGTGTGTGTGTGTGTGTGTGTGTGTGTGTGGCCAGCAGGCCTGTGCTGGTTACAGTATGTTGCCTCCAGTCACTTGGCAGCTGTGTGAGAACGTTCCAGGTTTGTGTGTGGGAGGCACCTGGAGAGCACCACACCTTGGTGAAATTCATAGACGTCAGCTATTTCTGGCATCCTCAGAATGTCCTCTTTTTCACACCCTCGTATCGGCGGAGCAGATTAGAGCTGTGCTCGGTGGATCCCTCCAGTTATTAGCCCAGTGCACAGCCTCCTCTCAGACTATCTTTAGACGGCGATATATTTTGGCGGATCATCTGGTGTCATGATGTTATCCGAGAGATAAGGGAGCTCACCATACGGGAGTGCTCTAAATGGCGACTGGCGTCCTGTGTGTTTGCGTTAAATGGGCATGATGCAGCGGCCAGGGCAATATTTTTCAGTTAAAGTGCTCCCTCCCGCCTTTCCTCTCAATAGGATCCAGTCTTAGGCAGATTTTCACTCCTTCAGCACAGGATTAAATGGTAGTAGTTACATTGATCAATAGGTTAAGAAGCACACAATCCCTCTTGCTGCTAATGACCTCAGTAGTAATGGGTAATAAAATGGGGGTCTGTAATAGCCTCTTGCCGGGGCCGTGCACAGAGGGAGCTGCTCTAGCTGTAGTCACTGTGAGCCAGACGCTCTTGACGAGGCGAAGTGTGAAACCATGATGAGATATACACCCAAGGTGTAAAGAATTAAGACGGTTGAATTGAAAGGAAATCTGGGTGTAATTTGTAATGAAATTGGCAGTTATTGAGAGCTGAAGTGTGTAAAAAAAAATACACAAAAAAATCCTCTGCGTTAACGTGGAGTTAGGTCTCCATTTTTTTCCCTCTCTCACATCACACTCTATATAATGTGGCATGACAAAATGATTATACTTCTGAAAATAAGGCTAAATTTACAGCTTTAACACGGTAGTAAAAAATAGAGCATGACAAGTATGGAGTAGATTTTTAATGCACGCAGTTAAAGCAAAGCTTCAAAAAAAAGGGTGTGTGTGGGGGGGGGCATTATTATTTATCCTCGGTGTGCACGCGCGGGGGGGGGTAAATGTCATGTTTAGACGGGGACTATATATCACATCATGTATGGCGCTTGCACGTCAGCAAGACGGGGCCGACCGGTTGACCTTCAAAATAGTTCATCAAAATTAGCGACGCCCAGAAAAAAAGAAGAAGAGAAAAAGAGGAGAAAAAGAGAAAAGGACTTCAGTGGATAATGACTGTGAAATTAAGGAAACGGGAGGCCGGGGCTATGCAAATGACAGGACAAGTCATGTGCAAAAGTCAAGATGAACTGCATATTAAGACATAATACGGGGGGGATTAATATTGCATTTTCCCTACGCCCGCTGCCGCAGATGAGAGATGTGGCGTGTGCGTGGGTCCCGGGTGGGGCCGGGCCTCGAGGAGGCGGCACCAGCGTGGTGTGGCGGCGCTCTGTGAAGTTAACCGAGAGCATCAAAGCCGGTCCGTCCCATTTGACATCGCTGCCCTCTCCTCCGCATTCTGTTTCTGCAGTACAAGCTGTTCATTGTGGCGGCGCTTTGTTTGTGTTTTTAAGGTGATATGCACGCGTCAAGAAGAAGGGCCCCTTCGTACAGCGAGATCGCATTCGGAAAATGCATGAAAAATTCAAAGGGGGTGTCATTAGCCATGAGGCGGCCACACAATTTGGGTAACCTTGGTGGAGACGGACTGTCACTGATGGACTCTCTCCGCTCTCTATCAGCTGCTGACATCAGCCTGAGAGATACACAAGCACATCTTAACACACACTTATGCACATACATTACTAATGTGTGTGCGCGCCACGTGCACAAAAGCACGATCGCCGCCGCACTGGTAACACCTGTGAAGACGCGGGACTATCGAGCGCGCCTTCCATGTCATCCGAATGACGAGGGAAGGAGCTTTTAATGGCATCACAGTGGTGAGTGGCAGCATCCAGACATACCGCCGAGTCCCCGATGCCGCCGGAGCAATTAAGGCACCCTGACAACTGTGGGGGGGGGGCTCTTTCAGTGTCACAACACATCACTTGTTTGTGAGGAGTCACGCACTCACACCTTTCTGCTGGGAGTTAGTTAGGGGGGCCCTGCGTGTCCTCCGCCGTGGCTCCTCCTCCTCCAGGCACTCCGCGTCTTCACGACAACAGATCGCCGTTGACAGCGTCCCTGATGAAATGTTCTCACACGACGTGTCCCGCTGCATGCGATGAGCGAGCAGCACGCTGCATCTTTGCTGTTTATTTTTTGAGGCAATCTTTCGCCTCCTCAGGTGTGTTTGCCGTGATTCACATCAGATCAGGTGTTGAGATGTTGTGTGTGTGTGTGTGAGTGGGAGGATGGAGGATGGAGGTTGAAGGTTGGGGTGGATGCTTTGCTCCACAGGCATGATCCACGCCTGGCTGTCTCGTGTCCTTTGGCCCGCCTCAGTCTGGCGTGGTGTCACAATGGTTAGAGGGGTTATGGAATGTGTGTGTGTTTGCTGGAGGGTGTGTGCAGCTTGTGACACGTCAAGATGACACTTGAGATGAATCCAGTCAAAAGCAAGACGCCATTTTATATTCATATTATATGGTGTATTTATTTGTAGTCTTTTGGCGAGCACTATTTAGTCATCAGCCTTTAGTTTTTTTCCCCACATTTGAGTTTATTGTTTTGTTTTTTGTCTCCTGCATGAATTGTGCACTGTATTAATGAAACTCTTGGTGTTTTGACATCCCTCTCCTCGCCTTTGTGTGTCCGCGCAGGTTCCAGTTTCAGTGGCTATGATGACACCTCAAGTGATAACTCCACAGCAGATGCAGCAAATCCTTCAGCAGCAAGTCCTGAGCCCTCAGCAGCTCCAGGTTCTCCTCCAGCAGCAGCAGGCCCTCATGTTACAGCAGGTAATGTGCACCTGACTCTCACATCACAGATCTGCTGATCTCCCTATGCACAGACGGGCGTTATTACAAAGACGCATTCACGTTCAGCTGCTTTTCTTCTGCCTCAACATTCCTCACGGTATTGAAAAAGCTTTTTTTTTTTTTTAAAAAAAAAACGACCGACAGACTTTCACTGACGTGTCGCCCTTCGCGTCTCTTCTGCAGCAGCAACTCCAAGAGTTCTACAAAAAGCAGCAGGAACAGCTCCACCTCCAGCTTTTACAGCAGCAGCCGCAGCAGCAGCAGCAGCAGCAGCAGCAGCAGCATGCAGTCAGCAAGCAGAGTAAAGAGGTAGGCTGACATCACTCCAATTCTTGCCATTACCAAACCCCGTCGGCCAGACAGAGCATGGAAGGCATGTGTGCTCCCTCCCTCGACCCCATCTGCTTCCAGACTGTGGTTAAAGTAGAGAAGAGAGAGGAGAGGGGGTGGGGGGGGATCAAGTGCACTCATGCTTCTGATTAGCATGTCAGACCTGCTGGATGAATGGTAACAACTGACTGATACAGTGCTAAGAATACAGCCTCTCTTTTTCTCCCTCTCCACGATATTTTATGGAGCCTGAGCATCGGCCCATTGTTCTAGATGTTGTTGTTTTTTTGCTCCAAGTAAACAAGTGTCCCGTGCAACAAAGAGATGACCGCTCCTGTGAGGCTCGTGCAGGACGTAATGAAAGGCAGGAACAGGGAGCTTATAAATCTGAGAGGCTTCTCTCGGTAATTAACATGGAAATGGCAGAGGAAGAGAAGGCATGTAATTGTGAGATATCAGTGCAGAGAGCGCTCCCAGCTTTGTTGCCTGTGTTTTTTTTCCTTCTTTCCTCCCTCCCTCCCTCTCTCTCTCTATATATCTTTCTCACTCCCTCCAGTACAGCAGGGCTTGCTCATTGGCAGCAGCTTAATGCGTGTTAATGACCGGAGGATACAGGCATCACTGTGGACAAAGCAAATTATTATTGTGCGGTCAGAAGGAGTTCAAAGACGATCTGGGACATTTTTTTTTTTTTTTTTTTCGGCTCTCGTCCCCGTTGAGTTCGGCGTCCGGAGAGCGGAGGAAGCACAGAAAATGACGACCCGGCGTTAAGAGGCAGGGGCACACGCACAGCTCGCGCTCACTCACACGTCCGCGTTCCTGTCAGCAGCTCCCGACTTCAAAGTCGCAGCTCCCTAATTAATGAACTGCGGGCTTCAGTTTGGACAAGTTGCGGCGTGATGCTCCCATAAATCAACATGACAGCAGAGCTCCTCGGCCTCAGATAGGGCCTGTCACCAAGTCGCATCTGATGTAAACACAAGAGGAACAGGGCAGAAAAGAGAGGGGGGGGGGGGGGGGGGGCAAGGAGGTGCAATTGATCAGTTGAATGGAGCATGAGAATAAAAGAAAAGCCAACTTTTGAAGCATATTATGTATGATCACAGGAAATGGATGCAGCCTCGAGAGGCTCTCCCCCTCCGCCAATGTTTTCTTTCTCTCCCCATCGCTCTTCTTTTTTCTTTTTTCCAGTCGCATTTCGAGCAGCCATCAAAAGACAGCGTAAGAATTATGCAGTGACTCCCCTGTGGCTGCCAGACAATAACCCCCTGTTGTTGCTTTGTGCCTCTTTTATTTTAAAGACATCAGAATTTAGTTTTTCAAAGATCTTTAACTTTTATATTTGAAGCTTGACAATAAAGGCCTGCCAGTGTCACTCTTTATCATTTGTCAGGGACTGTATTTTTCTCTCCCTCATGCCACTTCTTGTTAACCTCTTATTTGGTCTATTGGGTCTGGG